AAAATAGTACCAGAACCAGATGATGAGTGAAAGTAAAACAGAGAGGATGAAGGTCCCACACAGGACTCAAAGGATCTATTCAAGGTCAAACTATATCAGGAGATGAACTGGATTCCTTATAAATACTTGTTAAAGGGAATTTTATTTCTTATGGTGATGGAATTTTCACACTAAGTTATAAAAGTCATTTAGTACTACATGTGATGCTTCTGCAACAATAATCACTTTATACCAATGAAATTTCCACCCATTTCAAAACTTTTGTTTGCTCAACTTCTGTTTTTTTTTTTGTTTTTTTGCATCAGTTAAATTTTTAGGGTCGTTTTTACTGCTAAAAACAACAAAAATAACATTGATAAAAAAGATTAAAAGTTTATTTTGAGGTGAAATGAATCATAGAAACTGGTGACTTGTTCTTTAATGGGCCTGAAAATTAAAATGTACCACTGACATGCAGAAACACTCCTGCAATGTATAAAATGTAGCAATTTTTTCAATCAGTCAGTCATGCTCTTGTATTTAAAATACCCACAGTGGCCAAAGTAATAAATCACTTTGAACACAATGAGCAAGCCTTGGGAGCAGGAAAAACAAAAACTGCATTAGAAAAATTTAGGCTCGGTGTGCAAAGAAAATGATATTCTTATCTCTTCGACACACATTGATATTATGAAAAGAACCCATTTCTTGAAAGATAAACCTAAAGAAATATATAAAGCTGAGGTCTGAGTCTGCCTGCCTGTTTCAGTTTTTGCTGCAAATGACTTATGCTACTTAAACCTATTTATGCTCAGGGTGATGATCTGATAAAGAACCACGCCATCTAAAAGAAGCAAAACATAATTATTAGGTCCTCGACCCAGATTCTCTAATCCTTTTTACTCCATCTATGAGGGTCACATATAGAAAAAGAAAAACAGAATCTCAGTACTTGATAATTCAAAGCTTTAGCCTAGATAATAGTAGTTTTATTATTATTCCTACTACGTCTTTTGGTGAGAATTTCTTCAGAAGGATCAAATATTTTGTTTGTCTTATCCTGCAGGTCTGTTAATCCAGCATCAAAATCAACATCAGCACCTAATTTAACACACAACATGACACTAAGATTATTTCTCCACAAATTTATTCCAGAGCATCTTTCACAAATATTAAATACATTAGTCCTGCTTTAGATTTAGGTCTTACACTAAGTAATACAGGCAGGATAAGCAGATTTCTATTTTTGACATACATGTTGCAACACACTGTTTATATGAGATAAAGTTAAGGACAGAGGATATTAGTTTAAAGGTTTGTTCCTTGTTGATCCAAAGTTAAAGTCAAGTGGCTTTTTGCTGAGGTCAAAAGTTTAAAGAGGAGTACTACCATGGCAGTGGCATGTGGGGAAAACTAATTTGAGCTCCAAAAGTATGCAAATAGCTTTTAAAATATCACCATTGCTGCCTGGGAGGAGGCAGCATTATTTGCAGTTAAAGCAGGGCGTCTTGTGACCGCAGCTCATCATCATGGGTTAACTTGCATAATGAGGCCTTTCAGAGTTTTACATACTTGCCTGAGGTCTTTTTGAGGTTCAAATATACCTCACACTTTACAATCAGATTGGGCCGATGAGACCAAAGTAAAGATGTTTTGCAGTAATGCACAGCACCTGTATTGTTTGTTGTCATAGAAATATGTGGTGGAAATTAAAAAAAAAGGTCCACAAGGAGGCTCTGACCTGCAAAGCTGATCTGGCAACTGCTATCAAAGAGAGTTGGCACCAAATTGATGAAGAATACTGTTTGTCACTCATCAAGTTCATGCCTCAGAGACTGCAAGCCATTATAAAAGCCAAAGGTGGTGCAACTAAATACTAGTGATGTATTTTGAATGGTCTTTTGTTTATCTGTTTTTCATGATTCCGTACTTTTTTCCTCAGATTTGAGTGATTCCATATTTTTTCCCTGTGCTTGGCCAATAAAAGTAACATTCACTGACTTCCACAATGTTTTCTCTTCATTTCTTTGAGTGTTCCTGAAAGCCAACAAGTTGCACTTTGGAATGACCTTATTATTGTGTCATGTTTTTGATCTGAGTTTGTTTTACAGAATGAAATGTCTGAATGAGTGCTCATCCAAGACTGGTGATTCCATACGTTTTGCCAGGGGTTGTATATACTGTTAAACAAACACTATTATGTCATCTTAAAGCAAGATTTCATGCTAAGGAAATGCTGGGTCAAGGGAAAACACAAAGATAAACACAAGTGATATCTAAGAATGATTGTTGTTAGCAAGTCTTGTTCTGACTTTAATCATTCTATCCACTGATAAACAGCATGTCATGAAAACTTAGGTCATTAAAGTATGTCTTGAATTACTGGCTTAAACCTAAAGTATTAGTTCCATCACAGTTGTATTCACCTGCTTTTATTAAGACATGTGGGACTTCTTATGGTGATGCTCTAACTCAGGGATGGGTGACTAAAATGATGGAAGGGGTCACAATAGTTTATCGGCAATACCAACGGGCCACATAGTACTGCACACTTACACAAATGTAATAAAACTGGAATTTTCAAAAAGTATATTATATATATAATTATATATATTAAACCAACATACAATGCAGTAACTTAACATATCATGCTCAAATGCATGTGTAACTGTTGTATTCTTCTTTAATAAATATGAATACAAGACAGTTGAAGTAAAGAAAAAAATCAACACTTACTTAAGATGATGTTATTTAACTTAATGCTTCAGAATTAACATCCCCATCAAAATCATTTCTAGTGCTTCTGGTTTCTGGATGTTCTGATGTAAACTATTTTTACCAAGGCACCACAGCCACGTACTGTAAGTGTGCTGAAAAGCTCGCAGAGAGCCAAAATATAATGGTTTCTAACTCAACAAAGTAAAGTAATATCAACTATGCAAAGCTATATAAACAAGATTAAGGTTTTTGAACTTTCCAAAATACACAAATGCTTGAAATTCTTAGTTAATCCACACTGTATTAAAACCATGAAACTATTATTTGCTCATTACAGATCTTTGAACCCCTACCTCTGATGAAAAAAAAAACAAACAAGAAAAACAGCAGCAATTGTAAGATAAACTTTTAAAAAATGCCCCGTATATTTTGTGTTTCCTAAATTACCCTAACTAACAGGTTTGAATTGTTGCAACTTTTGTCTGATTTAAACAAAAATTCTGAAGATTTGATTTGTTGCTTGCCCACTCAAAATGAATTTGTAATGATCTTCCCACACACAGCTCCATGAGGTTGACTCTGTGAGCTGGAGGAGGTTAAAGGGACATCTCAAATCAGCAGAGTTTGAGAAGGAGGTAATGCAGATAGAGTGTCCGCCGCAGATGAAAACACTGGGTTTTGGGCTGCGAACATTCTACATTCTTGTGTTACTGGAAAGTGAGTGTGAAGAAGTGAGGTGCTAAATATATATGTACAGTATATGTATGTATGTATGTATTTATACAGTATATTTGTGTGGTCATTTGAGTTTGGGAGAACGTATAGCAATTTGCAGAGAAACTCACCAGGGAGGAGATAAGAGAGTGGATGGAGAAGTGGCTGGCTTCTGCAGTGAATTTCTTTTTTAAAAATCAATTTCTGTAAAAGTTCTGGCTTGTTTCCTCATCCCACAGTCCCTCAAGTCTCATTATTAGTTTAGTTTGACTGAGTCACTGCAGCAAACTCTATGGAGCACAATAGTTCTGGGCAGAACAGTAGAAATGAATGGGGTGAAGCCAACTGGGTACAATACTACTGGGTTTTCTCTAACATCCATTTCACCTAAAAATAGCATGGTATGAAGATGGGGTGTTATGGAAGTCATTTTATAACACGTTTAAAGTTCTGAGAAAAATAAGGTCATGTTGATTTTATTCTAAAACTAAAGTCACGGTTGCATTTGTGATCTTTGTCCCCTTCAGGCAGAACTTTGCGGTTGTAATAGGCTTCTTAATACCACTGCTCTTCTGATCCTGACCAGACTTGCATCATTTAAACTGGCGTTGTGACCAGGGTCGGCTTGCTGCATAGGCAGTATAAGCAAATGCTAAGGATGCCATCCATTTAGGGGGTGCCACAAATGGGGGATGAAAAAAAAATCACCGTTGATTTAGTCTGTAGAATAATCACTGTTACATTTATGAAGGTATTTTGTTTGATGGGTTCCTCAGATGTTTTGTTACTACATGAGGTGTTATATGGTGCGGAGGATGTTTTATGGTGAAAGTATCACATGATGCAGTAAAGGCTAACTACTGGTGTTCATTGTGTAAACAAAAAACTAAATAAGGATAATGAAAGTTTCAGTTATGATCTCAAAAAGTTCAGGCTAAAGTCTGGTTTTCAGTGTTCTACCTTCAGAAAATACTTATTTTATTTTAGTAAAACGTTCTTCAAATGGCTGGAAAATGCATAGTTTTGAGTAGATCTTTTACAAAAACTTTTCAGGGGATTTTTCTGGGACCCCCTTAGAACTGCTTCACTCCACAGCTGTTCGTTAGCATGAACAGGTGTTCCTCGTTGTCAACAGATGTTGGCCAGTATGAGGTAGACTTCTGGTATTCTGTTTCAAATTAATTATATCGTTAACTATTTGAATTGGACAACCTGGTTTCTAAAGATAAAAATTAATGAATATCAAAGACAAAACTATTTAATTTGATATGTTAATGGGTGTACATTGGCACTGAGATTTAGATAATTGCACAGGTGGGCGCCACCTAATATCTTGCCTATGGCAGCAAATTGGCTAGGGCCGGCCCTGATTTTAACCTTCTCAAGAGACATTAATGTATACTCTCAATACCCCAGTCACGGTTCATGATGGGCATATTTCAGAGCCTAGTACAATCATTCAGAATAGACTGGTTGCAATAAACAATAAGTGTTCAACCTGTTGCAGTTCATACAGCCAGTTTATTAAAGGTCCAAACAGATTTGACCATCTAGTCTCTCCTCCTGTCTTTCTAATTTGTCTTTTCTAGATGTTGGAGCCTAAGGTGGATGCCTCTTCCTGTGAGCTGGGTGGAGTGGAAAGCGGTCGAGAGAATGCAGGCCTCCACATGCCCACCAACAGCACAGAGGGCGAGGACAGCAGCCTCTATCCCTCCAGCCCGTCGGAGCCTCCAACACTAAGTCCTCAGCCCTCAGAGCCGCTCACACCCTTGGATGAAGTCTACACTCCACTTGGAGGGCTTCTGGGCTCCTCTGAGCGACATAAGGTGCCCCCCACACCCCCTCCCTCCACAGAAGGGGAGGATTCAAAGAGTATAGAGGGGCAGGAGATGGACATCTGGAAAGAGAGCAAAGATGAAGAAGATAAGAAAGACGACGAAGACGAGCGGAGCAGCAAAAAGAGCGCAAGAAGTGAGGAGGGAGATGAAGACCGGAATGAAGAAGAGGTCAACTTAAACTTAGTGGTGTCAAACACAGACGAGGACAATGTCTCAGAGCCTCCTGACACGAACGCCCCCCCTTCCTCCTCCTCCTCCTCGTTTGTCATCCCTGAGCTGCGCCTTGATCGCTCCTTTAGCGCCGATGCCCTCTCCTCACCCAACACAGATGAGGAGGAGTACGATGAGGACGAAGAGGAGGAATCTGAAGAAGAAGAGGAGGAGGAGGAGGATGACGATAGCGACGATGCATACTTGCAGCGAAGTGACAGCAAGCGCCGTAGCATGGTGGAAGGCGCCACATGCGAGAAACATGGAGGCGGGAGGCTCAGCGTGCAGAACTCTCTCCGCCGGCGTACGCACAGCGAGGGCAGCCTGCTGCAGGACCCCCGCACGCCCTGTTTCACCTCCGACAACGCCATCAACTGCCTGGAGTCTGGTGGTGCGCACCACAAGGGGGGCTGGACACTTCCATCACCCAAAACTCTGAAAAAAGAGCTGATGAAGAATGGAGGCTCCATGCATCAGCTGTGTATGCTTTTCTCTGGGAGGAAGGTAGGAACTCTACGTTATTCACATTTACTGACACTGACAAAGAGAAACAAGAAACAAAAAATAAACAGTGATGATATTTAGTTTATAATATTTCAAAAAACATTTCAATATTTTATTTTTCTATCATTCGTTTCCTATTTGAAGATCTTTATAACTGTTGCATCGTGATTGCCCAAACACTTTACCCACTTCTTGTAGCCATTCTCTGGTTTGTATAAAACGGGTGACATCAAGTGGTTAAACTGAGAAAGTACACAAGGTTCTTTTAAAACAATAGAACCCAAAATAATGAGAAGGTAAGTCAGTTTACCAGGCACATATTTTGCAGAGGATGTTTTAATACAAAACAAGATTATGTATCTAAATTCTAATAAATAAGTGACAAAACTTGCATTTATTTTTGACTGCAGGAGGTTTGTAAACTATAATTTTCATTTCAATATATTTCATTAATAGAAACAAAACAATGTGTATAAAGTAAAATTAAAATTAAAAAAAAATCATTCCGTAAATAAAATGGGTGCAGAGTGAAGAAAAAATCTTATTGTTTCTGCTCTTTATTTTCATAAAACCTAAAACAATGTTTGTGAATATTATGCAAAATTTTAATAAAAATTTTATTTTGCGAAAAAACACTCTACATTTTTTTTGCTATTATATGAACATTAAATGTAAAATAAATATAATTTTCTCATGAAATATTGGGAAAATATTACATGTTAGATTCTTACATACTCATTTTTTACCATGTTCTAATATTGACTCTGTGATGATTTACACAAAAACATTTTTTAAAGGAAGTGTTACTAGTAATACTTAACAGTACTTTATATAGTTTATTTAAAAGCTATGAAAAAACAAGAATTATAGCATTATATAAGAATTTTCTTAGTCACTAATGTTGTTCATTTGTAAACAACTGCAATGACAGCAGAATAAAATGGGTATAAAATTATAGATGAACTTTTCTAACAGTGTTTTACCCATTTTGAATGCATACACAACCAGTTTAACATAAGGCTGAAAAATATGCCCTGGTTCCATATAATAGCAAAATAGAAATAAGACATTTCCTCTAAAGGTGAATGCAGTCTTAAAGGTGTGCCTTTTGATGACTGTTTAAAAAGTTGATTCTGCATTTTTGTGTCTGTAGTAGTTGCTGTGAATGTCCAGCAGAGGGTAGCATGTATCATCATTGGGAGTCTGCTTCTCTTTGGCAAATACTGGGAAATGAAATAAAACCTCCTTTATGTTCTGCACATTTTAATGCATCATGGTGTAAATGTGTGACACATTTACTGGAATGCAAACGAACGATCAGCTCTAAGGTGGTTGCCTCCACCTGCACCTCTGCAGACAGACAAGAAGAAACAAGCCAGAGGAGACAAACCAAAATAGGATGGGATTAAAAGAGAAAGACCGTCCTTTTAGAACTCTGCTGGGTTCTAGCAGACTTAATGACAGCCGAGAGACAGAGGTAATCAAGTGGGCGCTTTATCATCATCGAAAATCAGAAGTGCAGCTCCTCTTTATCTGCCTCTCCTTCCACAAGTCTGTCAGCACAGTCGACAGCCTTAAATGGCAGTGTGTGTGCACTGTGCAGCACAGGAATGCAGCAGACAGAGCTGGAGCCTGTTTGTCTTGGCAGATTCGAGGGTAATTTTACTACCTATTGGCGTCATGAACACGTTTCCTTTGAGGCGTTTGTTTCCATTATTTAAAACAATCTGCAACCCCCACCCCCACCCCCACCCCCCATCTCCCAAATTTGTAAATCTTGCAACAGCTCAAAACACAGAGAAGTCTGTTTGTGTGTTCTCCCTGAAAAACTGAACTTTTATGAGGCCACCATTACACTGATTTATGCTCCAACATGCACATAGAATATATTTTCTTCTAATGCTATCAAAGGTTTACAACCCACTGCTTTGGGGTAATGTGCTGTTTCAGCAGAGTAGAATCTGAAAATAATTAGTTGCTTTATTTTTACATCAGTAGAACTTAACTCATTGATGGGAATCTGTTTTAAAAGAGGTTTACCAACTTTGCTTTTTAATAATGTTAGGCACTTAATGAGAAACAGCTGCAGTCTTAATGCAGATTCTTGTAGGATTGTTAGTTTTTTTAAAGATTTGAACAAACACCACATTTTTGATAAATATTTTATCATATTAAAATTATAACAGCTTGACATAAAGTCATAAAAGCAAATATTCTGCGCACAAAAGTGAAATGTTTATGCACAGTATAATAAATTAAAAAGGCATTTGGACTGCTTTGGAATGAGGTCCCAGATTTCCACTGGGCTCAATTTTAAGATGCACATTTCAATCACTTCCAGCTGTCTCTTTTTTAACCTTTTGAAAAACATTATGAAAGCTGAACTTTAGTTTCTGTTTGCATTTATGCTACCTTCATTAATATAAAACACAGTTGTTATTTGGTTTATTTAATTACATTTGATTATACATTTAAATCTTTTGCATAAAAACCAGCATTATAAGGTGTTTGTGTTTTGTGCCACTTCACTGTCTGAACCTTCCTGTGTCACCTCTTATTAATCCTGCTGCCAGCCACTGTTTACTTGGCCTTTATTCTGCTCTAACTCCAGTCCTGTCATTCTTTCCACTCTGCACATTTTCCTTTCACTCACGTTTTTTTTTTCCTTCACAGGCTCATCTTCAGTATAAGGAAAACCAGAGACAGAGAGCAGCTTTAAAAAAGTGATTGTTAAACTAAGAGACTCTTCTTGGCTAATCCTCAAAGTTATTATTGACCCAAATTAATGGAACATTGTCACAAAAATTTCCAAAGTCAAACATGCGAATTTTGTGGTGTTTGTCAAAATCAATAGATGATCTGATAAACCTAATATTAGACTTGGTGCACACTTTATTATTGTGTAAGTAAGAAACTTTATTCAGGAATACAAAATCTTTCTGGCCCATAGTTTCACAGCAATATACACACAAAATATATACCTTATACTCTATCAACAACAATTTCGTGTATTATAACGTAAATATACATTTTATCACAATCCAGCAAATCAGGTTGAAAAAAGAGAACCTTCACTAAAAATCAAATTATTTGACTTCAAAATAAGAGTATAATACAGAAAATATCATTATAATTGATTCCTTGTTGCTCTTTCCACAGGAAAATCAAATATTATTATTAGATTCAACTTTTTGGACTGAAAGTTGACCATCTGTCATGTGAAGAATGCACAAAATCTAGTGACAAAACGAGAAAGCACAAAACTGTTTAACTTTCAAGTGTTACCTTTGGGGCTGAATAAAATGTTAAAGAGGGCCAGTTATGGCCCACAAGCCTTGAGTTCGACACATATGCCGTATTTTATCATAAAGATTACAAACAGAAATGAAGTGGCTTTTGTTATTAACAACTTCAGTTTCGAGATCATGTTTTCAGTATAAACACAAACGCTCATCTCTAGGTGTATGAGACCACCTGCCACTTTCAATTGCAATGAGCTGAGCATCTTAGTAACAATAAATACCTGCTATAAGGCTAAGCAAATACCTTCCTGGTTCAAGGGTACATTTATAAAATAAATAAATCTGCATCTCTGTGCAAACTCTGATTAAAAAAATACCTCATAATGCCTTATAATTACAACACCTTGAACTTCCCAGACATAACTTAAACCAATATAAACGGATTGGAGTGTTTTGCACCACTCTGTCTTTTACAGCTATCAAGTCTACATTGATAATAATAAGTTCTCAACAACAACACTGTTGAGTTCAGTTAAGTTTCAAAATACAGTAAATTAGGTGTTATTAAAATGATTTTTATGAGCTTGAGTTTGATCATGAAGGTCAAGCATGATTTGCTTCGACTTACACCATGTCACAATTAAAGCAAGTTAATATTAACGATATTTAGGCAAAATGTAAAAGCAGTTGAAAAGCAATGTCATGTTCCATTCATCCATCTACAGGGGTCGCTGGTGTCTATATCCAGAAGTCACTGTGTAAAAGGTGGGGTTCACCCTGGACAGTTTGCAAGTCACATCACAGAGTCATATAAAAACAAGCACCTAATCACACTAGCTCCAATTACAAGTTATCAATTAGCCTAACATGCATGTTTTTGGTTTGTGGGAGGAAACCAGAATACCTGGAGAAAACCCACACATGCACAGAAAGAACATGCAAACTCCACCCAGAAAGTAGGCAGGGAGTTGATCTTGTAGCCTTCTTGCTGAGAGGGGACAGCTGTACCAACCTCCATGTGTCATCACAGAGGCACATGGAGACAAACAACTCACACTCTCACTCAAACCTAGGGACAGTTTAGAGCTCATATTCCACTCATCCAATTTCATTTGTATCTACTTAAAATCGAAGAACAAATATATAATCCTGTAATCCATGGTATGGTGACAATCTCACTGCAGTTGTCAATATTAGACTAAAACATGTTTTTTCACAGTCACAATATGAAATTGAGCCTCCTCAGTTTGTATAAAGCTTAAAATCTTATCTGCTTCTACAGTCATCACATAGTTTTTATTTTAACTTGTGAGTGCGCATCCACACTAAATTAGTTGAAAATGCATGAATGGTTCTAACCCAACACTGTCGGCTATAACAGGTCAACTATTTTGTTTATGAGGTCTGAATACTTGTTTAAAATCTGAATAAATATCTACGCTCTGTGCATGCGATGGTGGGGAAACACTTTTAATGTGTTTATAGATTGTCGTTTGATGCATAAATTCTTGTGTTGTGTCAATAATAAACGGAGGAAGGTTTTGTGAAATGGATAAATCCAAGCCCCTAAACAGGGGTGCTAAGTGGATCATCAGACACAGTCACATTAGAGGAGCTTGATATGAAGCTCCACTCATGTGACTGAGTGTTAATCAGACACCTAAAAGTGGTTGTGAGAAGGAACTGATGTGTGGGGGCTACAGAACTACAGAAAATAAAATTGTAATTGGGGTGACGCAGCATTCCGATTCTACATTT